TTTCAAAATATTTTGCCTTGGGCTATAGTTCTTTTTAAGAAAATAGGCAATAAAGGGCGATCAAGATAAACGACAAAACAACATTCATGCATATGTAATACTTGTAAGTAAATCTAGTTGCTTATCAAGTTTGATCCAAGGTTAAGCTTCTTCACACGCTTTTCGGCGGTTATCTTAACCATGTTAGACAAGCCCTATGTGCATTGCCACAAAATAAACATGTAGTATATTACAATGCAATGCAAGGGTCAACACAAGCTCATCTTTTAGTGAAGTTACTAAAATCAAGAACATTGAGCTCATTCCGCAAACGACAAAACGTTGCCTCATCTAGCGGTTTTGTAAAGATATCCGCCAATTGATCCTCGGTTCTTACACCTTCTAGTGATATATCATTTTTAGCAACATGATCTCTAAGAAAGTGATGACGGATATTTATGTGCTTGGTGCGAGAGTGTTGAACTAGATTATTTGCAAGTTTTACCGCACTTTCATTGTCGCACAAAAGAGGTACCTTTTCTAGAACTACACCATAGTCTAGCAAAGTTTGTTTCATATAAAGTATTTGTGCACAACAAGCACCCACGGCAATGTATTCCGCTTCGACGGTGGACAAAGCCACACTATTTTGTTTCTTAGAGGACCAAGACACAAGTGATCTACTAAGCAAATGGCATCCTCCGGATGTGCTTTTTCTATCAACTTTGCATCCAGCATAATCCGAATCGGAATAGCCAATTAATTCAAATCTAGCTTCTTTGGGATACCAAAGGCCAATGCTTGGTGTGTGCTTAAGATACCTAAGGATTCTTTTTATGGCAATTAAATGAGTTTCCTTAGGATTAGCTTGAAATCTAGCACACATACACACTAAACATGATGTCGGGCCTAGATGCGATTAAATACAGTAAGCTACCAATCATAGAACGGTAGAGAGTTTGATCAACCTTGTTACCTCCCTCATCTAGGTCGAGATGTCCATTAGTAGGCATTGGTGTCTTGATTGGGTTACATTCATCCATCTTGAATCTCTTGAGAAGATCATTTGTATATTTCTCTTGAGAGATGAAAATTCTTTCTCTCACTTGCTTGACTTGAAAACCAAGAAAGATTGTAAGCTCTCCAATCAATGACATCTCGAACTCCTTCGACATCAATTCACCAAATTCTTTGTAAGAATCCTCATTTGATGATCCAAAGATGATATCATCAACATACACTTGACAAATGAAGATATGCCCATCAAGCTTCTTGGTGAATAGTGTGGTGTCGACCTTTCTAATGGTGAAGCCCTTCTCAATGAGAAAGTCCCGAATGCACTCATACCAAGCTCTTGGGGCTTGCTTAAGCCCATATAACGCCTTGGACAACCTATAAACATGATTATGATATCTAGGGTCTTCAAACCCGAAAGGTTGATCAACATAGACTAGTTCATTAATAAATCCATTTAAAAATGTGCTTTTCACATCCATTTGATATAATTTCATTTCATGACGTGATGCATATGCAAGGAGGATATGAATGGCTTCTAATCTTGCAACCGGTGCAAAGGTCTCTCCAAAATACAAACCTTCAACTTGAGAGAACCCCTTTGCAACTAGTCTTGCCTTGTTCCTCACAACAATACCTTGATCATCTTGCTTGTTTCGGAACACCCATTTTGTTCCAATGACTCTTGCACCTTTTGGTCGCTCTTCAAGAGTCCAAACTTCATTGCGAGTGAAGTTGTTCAACTCTTCATGCATGGCATTTATCCAATCCGGATCTTGAAGAGCTTCTTCTACCTTGGTAGGCTCAAAGCAAGAGACAAAAGAGTGATGAGCAATAAATGAAGCAAGTTTTTGTGAGCGTGTCATCACTTCCTTTGATGGACTCCCTATGATGAGATCTTGTGGATGATCTTGTAGTAGAGGTGTATTTCTTCTATTGACCACTTGAGGAGGAGGTTGTGGAGCATCAACATCTTGTGCTTGTACCACCATTTGCTCATGGGAGACATGAATATCTTCATTTTCTACTCTCCCTTCTTTTGTGAATGAAGTTTGCTCTATTGGATCTTAGACATATTTAGGAGCTACCTAGCACTAGTTTTAACAAGTGTGCACCACACCTAACTCACTAGACTTATCTAGGTCAAACTACCCATCCATACCCCCCTTAATAGTATGGCCAAAGGAAAAACAAAGTCCTAAACTACTATAAGTGTCTCTCCAACTCCAAACGACACTTAGAACTAGTCCATCCTTAACCTTGTCGTCCATCCTTTGAAAACCGAAACAATTTCCATCGTAGGGGCATGACAACCATGATTGCCCAATCAATCTCCATTACCATGACCTAACTTAATTGCCTCTGTAAAACACACGTTAGTCACAGTAATCTTATATTGTCATTAATCACCAAAACCCAATTAGGGACCTAAATGCTTTCAATGACAAGTTTAATTTGGTGTCCAAAACGTTGTCTGGTTATGATGATCGGATGCAGTAGTTCTCTATATCAAATAAACAACAGTGGACATGTAACAAGATGCCTTAGCTGATAAGCATCCTTTTTTTCTCGAAGGGATAAGCATCCATTTCGCTACTTTAATTTGACCCAGCTGTTCATTCTGGTTCAACTTGGTTTCAGTTTGTACGTGTTTACACCAAAATTTAGGAAGAAGAACGCGGGAACTCGAAACCTTCAAGATTGTGTCATCAAGGAATCGATTGCATAAGGATTAATATCAGCTGATTCAAATGCGGTATTGGGATCAGCTCTCTTCGGATGACATCAGCAGATGACGTCAATGAGCTATGGTTGGCATCAGAAAAAAATATGCCGGACTCTACAAGAAGGGAAGATTAGGGTCCAAGTTATCTTAAGTTAGGAATGTTTTCTTTTATTCCAAAGATTGTAATGAGTCGTATTTGAGTAGGATTCATGCTTAGGTTCCAGACATAAATATTGGAGCCCGGCTATTGTAAAAAGGATCGATAATCAATTAATACCAATTAACTTTTTTGGTTTTACGTCAACCCTTAGAAGTACGAGTACTGTAGATCTCGGTGAGTTCTTCAACAAATAGGGCTGCATCGATCCAGTCGACCTCCGGCTTGTCTGTAAGTACTGTCATGACTTATACTTCTGTTTGTAAGGCTGCATCGGTTCGGCCGACCTCTTACGATCTCTAGTATGAGCTAGTTATCAATCCTTATCTAGTTCAAGTACGGCTGTATTGGTTAAGTTCGACCTCCACTGCTCGAATTAGATTAAGGTCAAGTTATCGGCTCTACCTAAAGGTGGCGTCCTTCATTAAGTTACCGATCTTGCTGATATCCTTGTTGTCATTAGTTTCAGCAATATCAACCTGTCCGATCGAGATCGATCTAGATCGGTCTCACATCCTTTTAGTCCATCGTTTATTTTGCTATATTGTGTTGATTTTTACCTCAAACGATGGATTATGTTTTATCGGCAGTTCTTGGGTTCGATCTTGATCATGCATAGTACGCGGTCAAGGCATGTTTGATCTCGAGTAGGTTTACTAGCTAGTTGAATCTGGTTTATAGCTCGCTATTATGGCTGTAACGATCCGGTCGATCCCCACTGTTAGCACTTTAGATCGGAGTATGCTAGCTGGTAGATTTGCTTTCGACCAGACGTGACCTTGGCTGTTTGCTATGCCCGCATCGGCTAAATAGCCGATCCTCCGTACTTTAACGCTTACAGTGTCTCTTCGTGATTCCGTTAAATGTGAATAGATCCGTTTATTTTAAGGTTTGATTTGTTGTCTTTATCATGGCTGCCATTGATCCGGTCGAACCCCGCTGTTAAGGATAATAGGTTAGATCTGATGAGTTTATAGATATGTCCATATTGAATAGTCGATTGTTCACATGCTGTAATCAATTTTCTACCTGAATCGAGCTGTTTTAGCCGATTTGCCCGTGCTTTTACAGATATGGCACGCTTTTCATGAGCCTGTTGAAGTATGGTCGGTTCTATGGACTTTCTGGTTCTGGACTATCATCATCATCATAGCTGCATCGATCCGGTCGAACCTCACTGTTGGCGGTGATAGATTAGATGTAGACGGTTCGTAGGACTGTCTATATCAAACAGACGATTATTCATGTGTCATATCCCTTTTTACCGGATTCATTGGCTCTACACCACGTATCGATCAAAATCTAATTTAGCCGGTGATGTATCTTTGACGCATACATGCTAATAGCTCAAGGGAAAGGATCATTAAAACTAGGTGTATTGTATTCGCTACTATAAAATCAATCATGACCCATGAGCTTTAGAGTCCTAAACAACCGATTTCTTCTCGTGTCAGCTGTTTTAGTTGATTTTCCCGTCTGGCAACTCCCGAAGCGGCACACTTGGAACTGTCTAGGGAAAACCGACATGTTCCACCCTAAATAACTGATAAACTTTCTCTCCTTGTCAATTGCAGGTCAAATTGACTGGCATGCCCTTGGGAATTCGCAGGATCGACCGGTCCTGCGTTAAAGCCAGACAGATCTCCATATCATTCCGGCTTGCTACGTGTCCACCCGACGCAGCTACCATGTTTTCGCGCCGACGGTACGTATATATCACATATATCTAGAAACATTTTACATTTGTAGTTGTAGCTAGCTAGCTAGCTCCCAGCATATGTTGGTGGCCTCTGCATGCGTATATGGCATGAAACCTTAAAGGCACAGGCACAGAGAACAGACAGATTGAGCAGAGAAAAGCAGTCGATGGAGAGACGTCATGCATTTCCATTGTGTTGTACAGTAGTTCGTACCTATGCATCGATCTATGGGGTGTTTGGTTCTTTAGTCGCTCCTAAAATTTATGTCACATCAAATGTTTAGAGGCTAATAAGGGGCATTAAATATAAATTAATTACAAAACCAATTACATAGATGGAGTTAATTAATCTATCATTAGCACATATTTACTGTACCATGTTGTCAAATCATGGCATCGATAAGTTATAGTTTATATGATGGATCCTAAACATTCGACATGAAATCAGGCTCGTCGGGCGTGGAAGGAGAATCCGGCAGGGAAGAGGTGGAAAGATGCCGCCGGGGCAGGTGGAAGATGCCGCGAGCAGACGGGTGAGCAGGCCCTAGGGTAGGACACGGGCTGCCGACGTCGGTGAGGTCGGCGTTGCACTTGATCAGCGGCGTGTCCACCACCAGCGTGCAGCCGCCGATGAAGGCCGCCAGCGCGTTGGTCATGTCCAGCTCCACGGAGAAGGTGCCGTTGGTGTTGGTCGTCGCGCCCGCCACCACCTTGCCCGCGCACCGCAGCTCCACATCCGCGTCTGGGTGCCGCACAAGAAACAAGCGAAGCGATCCAGCTCGCCGTTAGCCAAGGGTGACGTCGATGCATGTCATGTCAGTGGAGGTACAGGGACAGGGTACAGGTGGGTGCACGTACTCGGGAAGGCGGGGGAGGTGGCGATGTCGATGAGGCTGCCGGTGTTGCAGGGCACGACGCCGGTGATGACGAGCCGGCCCAGGCGGCCGAACTTGGCGTCCGCGGCGCCGACCACGCACGCCGCCGCGACCACGGCGGCCGCCAAGAGGAGAAGCGCCTTCGACGCCATTCGCCGGCCGGTTGGTTGCTGCTGGCTCCTTGCTAGTCTACTAAGGAAGGCATCTCCATTTATTTATAGACCCGGCCGAAAGCTAGCCCGGTTGTATTGTTACCACCAAATAAATGGCTCCGTTCTACTGAAACTTGACTGAATTAGCTAAAAAACACTATTCTGACTGAATTGCTGTGAAAAAAAAATATTATTCTAGCTAAAAAAACAAGCTGAATAAGCCGAACGGTGCCAAAGTTGACTCCGTTGCATTAGCAGCAGCAGTAACAACTGCTGTTATATATTCTTGCGTCCTCTCGTTTTGACCTCGCTGCATTATTCAAGTCTTGAAGATGAACTGTGGCACAAAGTATACGCACCGAGTCATCGTTCAGAAAAAGGTAAGAGAGCGGAAATGCGTTGGTGATGCTTGCTGAAGAACCCTTTTGGCGTGCATTGGGGGATAAATTCTTTTGTGCTCTGTCTCTGTGCCTGCCTGACAGTAGTTGGTGGTGGCGCAGAGGGTTGGGCCCCGTTTAGATCCAAAAAAAAATTTGCGTTTTGCCTACCGTAGCACTTTCGTTTGTATTTGACAATTAGTGTCTAATTATAGACTAATTAGGTTTGAAAGTTTCGTCTCGTGATTTCTCACCCAACTGTGCAATTTTTTTTTCGTCTACATTTAGTACACCATTCATGTGCCGCAAGTTTCGATGTGATGGTACTGCACAAAAAATTTTGGGTTTTGAAAACTAAACAGGGCCTTGGCTAGCTAGCGCAGTAGGGGCCGGCGAATTCACGGGCTCAGTGCTCGTGAAATTTTAAACAGAGAAGGTACGTGCGCCATGTCGGCACTTGTATACTCCATCCAAGCAACAGCAGCAAAGAACATCATCACAGTCACAGCTAATGTTATATAATAAGCTGGCCGATCTGCCTGCATGGCTAGCTGCTACTGCAATCTACTGTATAAGAAAACAGTTGCTGGATGAGGCTGAACTATGCTGTCAATCAGCCAATGGCCAAACTGATGCTCGTTGCCAGTTGGTGGCACTGCCATCATGGCATGCATCCAAGTCAAGGTGAGTCAAGCCAAAGCCGTAACGGATGGGGTCGGAGCAGAGACGAGTGAGTGAGTGCGCCACTCGCCGGCTGTGGGTTTGTGTGTGTACTCTCCACTGGCGCTTTGTGCGCTGCGGCCAGCTCGTGACTCGCTCGTTATTGGAGTCGTTCCTGTGCAGTTGCAACTGCAACAGGAATGCATGGTTTCTTCCCCGCCCCTTACGGCCGGTTCTCCTGTCGGTGGCGGCATCGGATTCGTCATTCGTGGACGCACGCGAGCTTTTCAGGCGTGCCCTGCCCTGCCCTGCCCAGCTGCGCGTGGGGTGGGCGCTTTGCCAGCGCGATCATTTCAGGTTCAGGGTCGTCGCATCACCATCCTTGCTCCATTTCAGTAGCTGGCGCCGCAGTGGGCATCCATTGCGAACTGACTGCCTGCGAGTTCCTGCGACTGTGCTTTCTTCATCTTCTTCTTCGTTGTTCGCCCAGAGTTTACCGGCATGTATCAAGAAGAGGAGACTTGGCCCAGAGTTTACGAGGGAAATCGGGCCCAGTTCATTTAGAGAGGACTTTTCTGACTGTAGCTCCATTCGTCGCCGTTGGCAGGCTTCGGCGTTACTTTTTTTTCCTTTCTGCTGGGCCATTTTTTCTCCTGTTATTGTTGGCCCATGTGAGGCCGGGAATGAATAGAAAAAAAATCGTATCTCCCTAAATTAGTACTTCATCCGTTCCAAATTATAAATTATTTTGATTTTTTTATATCCATTTTGATATGTAACATATGAGCCAAAAAAAGTCAAAGAGACTTATAATTTTGGAACGGAAGAAGTATTACTAGAGTGAGTCCATATTTTCTACCTTTAAATCCGGACAAACTCTATCTCTCCCTTTAACTTTCAAAAAACCATTTCAATTATTCTCCTTGCCCACCATCATCTTCTAAATAAAAATTCCAATAGATACTCGCTATGTTTTTTAAAACATAAAAAGTATTTTTGAGCTTCTTAAAATTTTAAGGAAAGTTCTAGAGAGCGTAAAAGTGTATGTACAAGCTTCCAAAAAATAGATTTAGCACTAGAAATTAAGAAAAAATAACTAGAAATATCTTATTCCCTTTGCTAATACAGGTGAACAATGATATAATGTAATGAAATAACTGTGTCAGGTTAGTAAAAACACTAGGGACGGACCATATATAGGAGTTTATATAACTAGTAAAATATTTTTCTCATGAAGCTAGCTCAAAGATTCTTTTTATACGGTTGCTAGAGCAGTTGGTCAAGTCTCCAAGTGGTGTTCCCCGTGATCAGTTCGAATCCTTGGTCAGGCGAATTTCTGATCGGCGGTGTGGAAAAAAAAACCTTGCCTGTCCCGTGTTCCCAAAGCACAGGTAAAATGACCGGCCCTCTCACTGGGTAACGAGCCCCTGTGTGCGAGCGGGACTTGAGGCTTGGGGGTTTTCTCGGGCTGGGTGAGAAGTCCTTTACCTTAAGCTAAAATAGCTCGGGGTGTCTACCCCCGAGCCCGAGTTTTTGTTATAAACTGTAGCCTTTTTTATTTAACCTAGAATATTTTTTTTACCAAACTAGAATTTTTTTATCGAACTATGAACATTTTTTAACAATTTCCCACTACAATTACCCATGTTTTTTTAATAGAAGGGGCTAAGCTCTTTATTGAGATTTATTTAAAAGACAGCAACAGTACAAATTTACGGAGAGTAAGCTAGACAACAAAAATTACATAAGAGAATGTAGCCATTAATATTTGGGAAGTATTTATTTTTTGCCCTATGGGTAACCGCGACAATACGAAGCTAGACAGTGATATGAAATTACATAAGTAAAAGAACAATATGGCAAGAGAATAAATAAACGAGTAATTTTTTCCATTTTAAAAAATATACGAAACGAGTCGTGGTCCTAGAATTACTAGCTTCCAACGCAAGGAGAAACGTTGATTTTGGCGTTGGAGTGATAATTCTTTCACAGCTTTGGTAGGCCCCACGATCGATGGGACTGGCCCCTCCGCTTGCCTGCCACCTCGCTGAACCGCCAGCAGCTCGTGGTGCGCATCCGTGGGTGCCGCGCCATGGATTGAGAGAAGAGGACCGGGAGAGAGGACAGACGGCAAGGCATATAGAGAGAGAGAAAGAGAGGAAAAAAACAGAGACACAAAAGCCATTGGCTAGATACTCCGCAAAGCACTTGGATTTCTACTTTTATTTATCTTTGGATTGGAGATATCTAAAGATTTGAGGAAAGAAAAAGAGAATCAATGGACCAAAGTTTCTTAAAAAGAGGAAAAGAAGCTAAGGAAAGATGTTCCTTTTCTTAAGTAAATTAATTATTCAGTATTAGAGTTGATTATTGATGATCTGCTGCAGCAACTATCCCAATAATCTTAAAAAGTGGTATTGGTGATCACCAATACTTCTAAAATAGGGTTAGATTATTGATGAGTTGCTGGAGATGGTCATACGAAACGTGTCGTCCTAGCCACGTACAGCCCGGTGCCCTGGCCTAACATCTCGTCCAGGTAAACAAGAAGGCCCTTATTTTCCTTGGACAAACCAGGGTCAAGGCAACCTCCTTATTTGGAAATCTCAAATAGTTCCTCGACATAGAGTCATATCCCTACAAATTAAGGATTGATAACCTTCTTGGAAAGGCATGGGAAAGTAATGTAACCACCCATGCGTCATGTCTTCCTTAATATAATCCATAATCAAGCCTTAGCCGATGATGGTGCAGCATCAGAGTTAAGTATTGTGTTCTTTTAAGCCACCTTGTCCAAATTTCTCTAATCCTTGAGGATAGTGAAGTCATAAACTAATCTTGTTGATCAACTCTTATAAAGCTCGCTTTCACCTTGTCGTAAATGTCTACTTGATATCTATCTCTTAGAGTTGACTATGCCAGTGTTCTTCCAGTAAGGCTGTGTTTGGATGTTGTCGGATACATCTCAATCCAAACGTGTTGGGATGGAATTTAGTTCAAATTACACTTCAATCCACCCCAACACATGTGGATTGAAGTAAATCTGAATACATCCAACCTAAGGCTTAAGGGAGTGTGTGTCGTCCTCCTAGCCATTGCACATGTCCTATAAAGTGAAGCTTTCCTCTTAAAGTTGATCCTTAGTCCCCAAGTCTTTATATAAGTATCTCTGTAAAGACTGGAGACTAGTATCTCACTGTTATTAATTTTTCAGTAGGGGCTTGCCTCTCATGATTTTCTCAAAAAAGAAGTCTTTATATCTCTAGTCCTTTTCGAGTATAATCCTGACCAGTACCTTTCTCTCGACTCCACGTCTCCACCTCATGGTTTTGGAACGCTCACTGTTCTGAAACCTGGACTGCTGGACATCTCAGGTCCCCTTAAGTCAATCATATCACCTTGAGCTATAACCTTTCAAACCTAGCAACGACGCACCACGAGCGACGACGGCACCGTGAGCGCTGCGGACGAAGAAATGGAAGCTGAGCCTGAGCACGATCCACTGGCAAAGATGAAGGCCGTGCTCAGCTACTGGGAGTCGGTGACCAAAGACGACCGCACGCTGAGCAAGTTCGATGTTGGCTTCTTGGAGCACAAAATATTGTCCTGGTCCATCCAAGACGTCTTCAACAAGGACCTCCTTAAGCAGCAGGTGAGTGATCGAGTCCACTCCAGTCCACCGCATGCATCTTTCTGCTTGCATTGTTCTGCTGGTATCTATCGACTGGTATATTTTTGGTGATTATTATATTGATACCCCTATGTATGTTGAAATTTAATGGTAATAATTTTACTCTTCCTTTCAACTTTGTGATTTTGCCGTAATTATTCTAGATGGAGGGTTCCGTTTGCCTTTATATTTTAGACGTCGTTAGAAGGAACCAGAATAAATAAAAAGAATTTAAAATCCCCATTTGGAACATAGAGATAGAGAAAGCCCTCTACTCTCCCTTTATTCCTCTCTCCCTCTCGCTCGGCGGCGTGAGACGAGCGACGCCCGGTGATGCGGGACTGGCGCGAGGCGCGAGCGAGTCCCGGCCAGGCTTGGGGGCTTGGGGCGCAAGGCAGGCAAGCCTCCCGTCGGCGCCCAGTCACGCGGTGCGGCGTCCTCGCACTGCAGGCGCCTTTGGTTTGCGCATAGACCTTTGACTGTCGCGGGCAGCCTCGTGCGGCGTCGATGCGACCTGCACGCAAGTAATCCCTCGCTCCCAAGACAAGTCTTGATCTATCTTGTGTATCGAGGAGTCAACCGATCTCAACTTTAACTAGTTAGGTTTAAAAAAATAGTGATCGAAATAGGTTAACTACGGAAATATATGACGTGATTAATCTATTGATGTTTATATGTTACCGCAAAAGTTAGTAATTTTTTAGTATATATTTGGTCAAAAGTTGAGATTATTCAACTCCTCAAAATACAAGTTGGAGACCTTATTTTGGACGGATAGAGTATGCCATACACTTTAGAATCAATTTGATTCGTCTTGCCGTAAGCATCTCATGCTCCCTGTGTCTTACGCTACATATCTCTGAATTTTGTTATGCCAGACTTCAAAACGTGAGAATGAAATCCGACTTTTCAAAATTATTTTGTAATATCCAAGCCATGTCATGATGATGTTAAAATAGTCAGAAATTTGCTTAGATCTGAAATATATACAAATTCTTTCAAGTTTTGTTGTTAAAATTATTTTTGAAGTATGTCAAAATTAGTTCGACATCAAAGCAGGGGTAAAATCAAATAGTACTTTGAAAAATAGGGGCAAATCCGTATCGGCATTCTGGTTTTTTTATAGCTGGATTGGCATTGTTAAGTACCCCCAAACAGAATAGGATCAAACTCAGTCTCCAGTTCAAAAACAAAGTTGAAAAAAGGGCAAAATCACCATTTGCATTCAAAATAGGGGTGTGGACACAAAAGCGCCTTGATTTGATTGCCACTATCATCAACTATCTTTCGTGGCTTGATCTAGATTGTGCATGGCATTGTTCCCCACTTGTTCTGACACTGATTATTGATTGTGCTTAAAGATGAGAGCTAACAATATATAATTAATTTGGGTGTATTACAGGTCCACAGGATTCCTGATACCTTCATGTCATTGCATGCTTACTTGGACTCATTTAAGGGCCCTCTCATTGAAGAAGTACATTATGATGTCTTTTCGTCATTGAACGGTTATGGTCATGCAAACTTTATAGAGATAATCCGACTGGAGAAGCTTAGTGATGAGAAATCAATATTCTGTTTTGAGGTTTCCATGCCGTTCAAGGACGAAAAGTCAAGGGAGATTTATGTCCCCAAACATGGGGATATAATAGTTGTGTCCTCGCAGAAACCAAAGCATGTGTCTGATCTGACAAAGAATAGAGCATCGTACAATTTAGGTTCGGTTCTAAAATCTGGAGATGAAGAAGACAGTGATTTTCCACCAAATTGCTGTATTGTTCGGTTTCGATCAGCTATTCATGTGGAAGTAGATCCTGAAACAAGCATGCCTACAGGGCCATGTTTTGCCGTCTTTCTCATAAATATCAAGACATACGATCACATATGGAAGTGCCTTCACTTGGGAGCAAATGATCATAAGTTTGCAGCACTTCAGGGCAGAGGGGCTAATACAGCTATTGTCAATCTGGTGTGGCAGTACAAGAAACAGGTATGCCATGTCCTTTCTAACATCTCATCATCATATCGACACCTTATATTTGCATCTACATTTACAACACTTTTGCTAATGTTTCCAGCATATCGGTTTGTGAGTAGGATCAGTCATATCTCTTACTGCATGTGGATTGAGAAATTGAGATAACTCCTCAGAGTTTGACTTATTTGTTTATTTTCCTGTGCATGCAGGCAGCTGAAGATGGTACCTTGTCATCCCCCCAGCTCTCTCAATGCCTCACTCGTAAATCAGTTGATGACCTTGGCCTTGAGAAGTTCAACCTAAATGATTCACAGCTGAATGCAGTAGCTGACTGTGTCTCATCAGCAATAGAGAACCGGTCGCCTTCCCTAAAACTAATATGGGGACCCCCTGGGACAGGCAAAACAAAAACCATCAGTACTATCCTCTGGGCAATGCTCATGAAGGGCTTAAGGACACTTACCTGTGCCCCTACTAACACTGCTGTGTTGGAAATTGCATCTCGAATTGTCAGGCTTGTTGAGCAGTCTTCAGATGGCAGTGTCTGCTTTCTCAATGACATTGTCCTGTTTGGAAACAAAGAAAAGATGAAAATACGTCATGAGGATGATCTTTCCATGGTATTCTTGGACTCTCGCGCTGAACGGTTGCTGCCATGTTTCATGCCATGCACAGGCTGGATGCATTGTTTGCGCTCGCTAATAGATCATCTTGAGAATCCTATTACCAGTTACAGGCTGCACGTTGAGAAAATACTTGAAGATGAAAGGAAAAAGGAGAGCGCTAAGCAAAATACATGTGAAGATGGAATTCGTAAAGCACGTGATGTGGGTGACAACTCTGCGAGGGCTTCTTGCGTTTCGCTATCAGAGCCCTCTGCAAAGGATGGGCACAAGCCTATCCAGGGTGAAGCACCCCCACGTTATCCTTTGCGTTCAAACCCCAACTCCAAAGATCATCTTCTCGCACCCCTCTCGGTGTTCCACAAGACCATCTTCTCGCACCCCTTTGCGTTCAAACCCCATAACAGTCGTGAAGACGAGGACAATAAAGGAGGATGCCACGGTTCTGGAGCAATGGAGGGTACATTCAAAATACTGCCATTCGAAGATTATTTCAAAGATTATTTCAACAAGGCGACAAAGAAGTTAAGAGAGTACATTGAGATAATGTACAATGATCATCCACGAAATCCAGAAACAGGACACAGCTTTCAGTGCATGCTGGAGGTGCTTGAATTGATTGAAATTCTTCAGAAACTGATAAATTATAAAAATAATGATGTATGGTCAGATGAATTTCATGATTGCAAGATAGAAGATGACGGTAACCCTATTTTGTGGTCTGAGCAGCTAGCCTGTGTGCGGAGTAACACTAGCAAAAAGTACAAATTCAAGCTAGCTAGATCCTTGTGTGTGCAAGAATTAAGATATCTTCAGAAAAATTTGGAGCTTCCTGATTATTACAGCATGCGATCAATTCGGGTTTACTTGCTGCAGAGAACAAAATGCATTCTCTGTACAGTTTCTAGTTCTTTCAGGTTGTACAATGTGCCCTTGGGCAATTCTTCTACAGATGTTTGCAGTTTGCTCAAAAAGCCTGAAACATTCAACCTTTTGGACATGCTGATTGTGGATGAGGCTGCACAGCTCAAAGAGTGTGAGACCTTAATTCCTTTGCAGCTGCCTGGCATAAGGCAGGCTGTGTTCATTGGAGATGAATATCAACTACCTGCTCTGGTGAAAAGCAAAGTAAGCTCTGTGTATTCTGATTTTCCTGTTTTCTTTCAGTTTTGTAGGTTGGAACCATATTGAAATGTATTATTGTTTTGTAGATATCTGATAGTGCAAACTTTGGACGAAGTGTTTTCGAAAGGTTAAGTTTGCTAGGCCATGAGAAGCACCTTCTGAATGTTCAATACAGGATGCATCCAGAAATAAGCAAGTTTCCAGTTGCGACATTTTACGATGGCAAGATATCTGACGGTCCCAATGTCACTAGTAAGAGCTATGATAGGATGTTTTTGGCGAGCAAAATATTTGGACCCTATTCCTTTATTAATGTAGATGGGGGACATGAAACAACTGAGAAGCATGGCCAGAGCCTTAAAAACACAGTAGAAGTTGCTGCAGTAGTGCGGATAGTCCAGAGATTGTTCAAAGGTAACCATCATTGTTAATTCTTTAGTCACAGTACATTTTGTTTTCCTTTTGAATTGGGCTCTCGCAAACTACTTCCACAACGGTTTTTAGTTGTAATCTTATTGATTGTAATAATGGTATGTTGTTCTACGATGGACATTCAATATTCGATCTAAACCGTTGGGAACTTTACCTCAGCTCACTACGTGTATAATATTCTTTTGTTTTCCTTTTCTGTTAATTGCAGAGTCAGTGTCGGCACGTAGCAAGCTCTCTGTTGGTGTTGTGTCCCCATATAATGCTCAAGTTAGAGCTATCCATGAAAAAGTGGGGAAATCCTATAACACATATGATGGTTTCTCCGTGAAAGTGAAATCAGTGGATGGTTTCCAAGGCGCGGAGGAAGATATCATTATCATATCCACAGTGAGGAGCAATGGAGCTGGTTCTGTTGGGTTTCTTACAAACCTGCAGAGGACCAATGTGGCTTTGACAAGGGCTAAGTAAGTTTCTTGGTGCTTAATTCCAGGATCCAAACAAAATAAGAAAAAAAACAAGTCCTTCTGTTAATTGATTAATCTTTTTGGTAGTTTGGTGTTCTCTTGATGTGGGCTTTGTATTATATACTGTTTTTGGCATGGCAACATGATTATTATCTCACAGTTTTTATATTATTGGACTATTGGTTGTTGGACTGGGCAAAAGCTTGAACCTTGAAATTCATGTCTCCTTAACATACCAACCTAAGGAGTAGCTTAGTTTTCTTTTCCTTGTTTGTTGCCAGGCATTGTTTATGGATAGTAGGAAATGGAACGACCTTGTCCAACAGCAAGTCTGTTTGGCAGAAAATAGTGAAGGATGCACGTGATCGAGGTTGCTACTTCGAAGCCAGTGACGACAAGGATCTGTCAAATGCAGTAGTCAAGGCCATCATTGAGCTTGATGATGCCGAGAATTTAGTGAAAATGGACTCGCTGCATATAAGCAGGCCGAGGTCTCAGTTTCAGGTAATTCAGAAAATCATTCTTCGGATCACTGTCCTATGGGCAGTATCAAATTGACATGTCATACAAAAGGATCAAAGATTAGACAAATACAGCTGCCATTGCCAGAAAGTAATGTATTTTTTTCATCTTGTTTTATATGCAGAAATCAGGGCCTAAGTACCTTTCATGAGAGGTCTGAAGCTCTCATCAAGTCGAAGTGGCATTATCATGGTCCTTTAGGCGTCTGTTGTGACTTGTGAGATGCTCGACACTTTGCTGAACCTGCTCTTGTGCTCAGTTATCTTGGTTTACAAACCTTCTAGTTGGTCGAACAATTACTATAAAAACAGTATGTTATGTTATTGTTTTGAGAACCTGGTTACTATTCATGCGGCTGAATTGTGGTGCGGAAAGCGCTAGGCTGTCTGCAAAGCTGTTTTGCGAGTTGCTGGTTGCTACTGAACGCCCAAGTCTGTAGGCTTTACGTGAAGAAATGCTGAATGCGCTAAGCTGGGCCGTGGGCTCAGACTTGCCAACAATTTTGCGGCCTTGTAAGTTGGTCCTAAATTAGGACTCCTAATAGGCATTAGCATTAATTAGAGGGAAAAGAAGGTATATTTATCTCTTTGAATTATCGCCGTGGTTAACTTTTTTTCTAACTGTAAAACCAGACATCAACATTTTGAACTCTCAGAACCGTTCTACATTTTTTATCCTGAATTGAAGTGACTTTAAAGATGTTTTTTAGTTAATTAAAATCTGATAAATACTTTATAAGATTACCTCCTTCCTTGGATTAAGTGGTGAACACTACTTAAAAAAGGATTTGTATCAACATCTCTCTTTTTTTTTTTTACAAACTGACTGAGCCTATTTGTAAAAGCGGCCCTATATCCGCCGCTAAATAGTAAAAAATTAAGTACTAAAATTCAAATTTTTTAAACGACCTTGGATGGAAAAACAACCAAAACAAAAGTTGTAGATCTTAAAAAGTTATACAACTTTGTAGTTGACAACTTTTTCATTTAAAATCATCTTGCCAAGTAAAACAATGTTTGGATTTCTCACATTTGAAATTTGAATTTTTTAAATGACCTTAAATGGAGAAACAACAAAAACAAAAGTTGTAGATCTTGAAAAGTTATGCAACTTTGTAGTTGATAACTTTTTCATTTGAATTCGTTTAGAGTCTCAAACACTCATTTCAAGTTTGGTTCAGTATAATATGAGTAGAAAGAATATCTAATATAGACACAAGTTAGTGTTGGGTAGAGTGGTTAGAGGAGGAACCGCATGAGCCTGAGGTTGTGGGTTTGGACCTTGCGCAAAAAAAATCTTTGGCTATTTTTTTTGTTTGGATTCTTGTTTTTTAGAAAATGGACTTGTAGGAGCGGTGTAGGGGCGACTAGGCAAACCGCCCCTACATAGCATCAGGAGCCACCCTACAAAACATCCGTGTAGTAGTGGAGCGAGGTCAAATATCCAGCATGGCCGGGTGTAGTGAATAGGCACGTAAATTTTTATGATTTATGAAAATATACGTGCATATTTAGTCATTTAAGTACATAGTTAAAAATAGAAAGTACATAGTGATTTTTTTATTTCAATTTAAAGTGCATGTTACCAGGAGTCTAACAAAATTAGATTTATAATTTTTGGACAGTTCTATAAATATATATTAAATTTATAAGTTTACAGTATTTAGGGACCGGAATGACACAACTAAACAAGTTTGAGGATCTAAACAGGTGATTTGTAAGTTTAGGGACCTAGATGATACGGTCAAACAGATTTGAGGACGTAAACGAGTGATTTGAGAGTTTAGGGACCGGGATGACCCAAATAAACAAGTTTGAGGACCTAAACAGTCGATTTACGAGTTTAGAGACCGGGATAACACAGCCGAACAAGTTCAAAGAACGCTAGTAGACTTTACTCAAAAAAAACATCATGGGAAACTATTTTTCTAAAGGCTCATGCGGAAAACAAATGTAAAGTCTTCGCACGGATTCTTGTGTAAGAAAAGATACTAACGGTGAATAATCTGTAAAAAAAAAAAGAGGTGGCCTCACCAAGATCACTGTGTATTGTGTGATGGCTCTTTAGAAACATGCTTGCATCTATTCCTTTTTTGCCCATTCTCCAAGGCGGTATGGAACGAAGTCTAACCTGGGAGCACTTTGGTACGCATGTGATGCAGTCCGACCAAGACCCGATTCACTTGAGTGCTTGGTGGGAGAAGACTGTGCTGTGCCCAAGGTCACGAAAGAAGAAAGAAGGCATTTCAATGGCTCGGTGATTTACACATGCATGCTGGAATATATGAAAGGAAAGAAACCGAATAATCTTCAATAATATCCAGGAATTGGCTTCGCATGTCGCTGTGAGAACTAAGGAGGACATTGAGCAAAGAAAAAGGGCTTTAGAAAGGGGGGACTAGCAAGTCGGTGCTAGAGCTGCATCCGAGCTGTGCTTCTGTGTGTTTGCCACTTCTTTTTTCCTTTGCTTTCGCTTTGGGCCGGGCTAAAATCTGTACATAAACTCTCTTTTATTCTACCTTTATTGAGAGAGAGGTCCAGCCGTTCATTTAAAAAAATAGCCGTTCATTTAAAAAAACATTGGGTTTAAAAAGGAAAACCATGGGGAAAGAAATCGGCAATCTATGTTCCCTCCGTCCCTAAATATCTATCACCATTAGTGTGTACCATAAGTTCGACTTAATTTGTAGAAAATACGTGTAACATTTGTATCTCTAAATAAATTTATTAAAAAACTAGATTCAAATATCTTTCTAATGCTACTAATTATGTACTATAAATATTAATATATTTTAATATATATTTACTGAAAGTTATTTCTTGGAAAACGAAAACGATAGATATTTAGGATCAGATGGAGTACGTCAGGGTCGAGTAGTAGCTATCGTAAGGCTGTGTTTAGTTCGCGAAATTTAGAAATTTGATTACTGTAACACTTTCGTTTTTATTTGGCAATTAGTGTTCAATCATGGACTAATTAGGTTCAAAACGTTCGTCTCGCGATTTCCAACCAAACTGTGTAATTGGTTTTTTTCGTCTACATTTAATGCTCTATGCACGTATCGCAAGATTCGACGTGATGGTTACTGTAGCACTTTTTGAAAAACTTTTTGGGAACTAAACACAGACTAACTTGTGGAGGCCTAGGCGAGAATCAGAAGGAATTTGATTTGATTTGATGGCGTCAGGTAAACGGTCAGTCATAAATTTACAGCCTGTTCGGTTGGCTGGTTTGTATCGTTACTGATTCATTTATGTGAGAGAGAAGTACTGCTGACTGATTTATATAAATAGTGTCACGTAAGGAGCTAGCCAGCCCAGCCAGACAGCCAGCCCCAGCCGAACACGCCGGGGTGGATGAGATCAAACCAGGGTCATAAATTGGATGGATGGGATTGGGAGGCCCGTGCAGTCCACTGACTGTCAGTCCATCACGCTCACCACATCATCCGCCGGTGGCGCTTTGCTAGCTTTTCCTCCGCCCACCCGCGGCCCGGCCGTCTCCCACTCTCGCTGTCCGTCCATCCATCCATCGGATTCCGCGCGTCCATCGGGGCCTCCTCACCTCCGATATGATCCAGTTGCATTGCCCTTGCGTCGCCGGGCGGATACGCAACCCAACCCAACCCAACCCAGCTCGGCCAACCCATTCAATTCAAAGTCGCTCAATCGTGTGTGTTTGCGTGTGTATCCCGTGAAATGAAATCCACCTCCACCACCAGGGTTTCAGCGCTGGATCGCTCTCGCGGTCGTCGCGGATCCGGCGGAGTCCAGGCTCCTCCATCCATCCTTTGGCTAGCCGCGTTCGTGGCGCCACGCTCATGCCGTGCCCGACCCAAAAGCTAGCCGCTACACGGCCTGCGCGGTTAATTCTTCCGTGGCGACGGCCGGCCGTGCAACGCTGTCTAGTAAAGCAAGTTTTGCTTATACATTCACCTGGATGCCGACGCATCAACAACAGACAAATTATATTACAACCAGACAGGAGTACGTAGCATATAGCATAGCATAGCAGCAGCCTAGATAGTGATAGTTGGGTTGTCTTTTACAGGTCCTGATCGATCGTTGGTTGTGTCTCACACTGACACAGCCGTGACATATCACCACCGTGTTAGGTTTCGATATATACGTTCATCATGGTCACGTCTGGTCGCCTTCCATTATTCCAGAAGCTCTTCGAAACAAGCGTGTTGTTAATGGGCTGGGCTGGGCCGATCCTGGGTACGTAGGACAAAGGGGCGGCCATTCCAGGACCCGAATAGAAGATTCCCTCTCCAGTTTCAAAAAAAAAGTACACAATATGTAGCAGTGGCATTTAGCATATATATGGTCAATCTTTTGCTCAAAAAAATATATATGGTCTATCTAAAAGCGGAAATGCTCCTACACGGTCGTCTGGCCTGTTTCCTTCATGTGTCGACGTTTTTTTAACTGTACCACAATCCATACAGCCTGCCAACAGTCGGTAGTCTTCACCTTTCTCTCCCACGCCGCTGCTCGTCTTCCTCACGTGGTTTCTCGTCTCCCTGACGATGACGCGGCTGCTCGTCGCCCCGATGCGTCTGCTTGTCTCCCGACGCCACTGATCGCCTTACTCCCTCACTACTGCTTTCCTCCCTCGTGGCCCCGCCTGCGCCCATCCTTGTTCTTCCCTCACCGTTGCACCCGCTCGCCTTCCTACCATGCCTCCATGGCGGCAAAGTTGATCTAAGTGGACACCTCTATGGTGAGGTGTTTCTCGGCTATGAAATCCTCCATAGTCGGGTGTCTCTCGACAACGAATTACATGGTGGAGGTGTGGTGGCCTCATTGGCGACAAGCTCCTCTATGGTGGCCGGGCTCCTTCACAGGCAAGCGCAACCGGATCTGCACTCTACGGTGGGTTATGTTGTAGTATGTGATATGTTGCAACAATCAATCTTGGATGTTACATGTTTTATGGCACTCAGCATAAAATTGGATTTTGCGGTGTTGCAACAATCGATTTGAGATGTTGCAACATGTTTTTCTGCATGTTGCAATAGTCGATTTAAGATGTTGCAACATATTTTTTTTATGTTGCAACTGTCGATTTAAAATGTTGCAACATGTGTTTTTTGGATGTTGCAACAGTCGATTTGAGATGTTGCAACATGTTTTTTAAATGTTGCAA